GGGAGCCTGGGGGGACAGGAGGATGCACGAGGGATGGTGGCTGTGATTCAGGGCTGACCCAGCCTCCCCAGGACAGATAGGGCGGGGGCCTGCACACGGTGCCCGCAGGTGGGTGGAAGTCGGGAGGCCCAGGTGTAGGCCTCAGCTCCCTGAGTTGGGCAAGTCAGTTTTCCTTCTGGGGCTCCCTTTGCCAGCGGTGAACTGGGAGTGGCATCACCTGATTTGTCCCGTGGGATCTTTCCACGGGCCCTGGGCCAAGCTGGGAGACCCTCTGGACACCAGGAGGCCCACATGTCCCAGAGACCAGAGGGAGTCAGCCTGAGGGGCTGGGGGAGGGGCCCGGCTGGCACCGGGCAGTGAGCACCTTCCCCCACCCTGGGGCTGGGGCTACGTCCCACCAGCAGCAGCTACCCCAGTGAGGACCATGCCCTCCTCAGGCCTGGGATGGGGGCCACTGTGTCAGGTGAGGCCACTGACCATCAGGCCCGGACCAGGGCTGTGCTTGCTGTGCCAGCTAGGCTGAGGGTCCCCCCACCCTTCCAGCCTCGCAAGGCAGCCTGCTAGCCCAGCAGGGGAGGGATGCGATGCGTGAGCCCACCTCTTCTGCTCCTGCCCCCAACCTTGCATGGGGGCCTTTGTGCCAGGCCTGGGCAGGCATTCTGCCACCTCTGCTGAGGGCCTTTGCCTGTGAGCAGGTGGGTGAGGTCTTGGGGCTGCAGGAGCTGGCTGGGGGCCGAGTGGGACCCGAGCCCTGCCAAAGGGCTGGCTGTGTGGGCTCCTCTGTGGGCTGTGGTCTAGGGGCGAGCAGCCCCGTTGGAGCAGGTGTTGGGGAGCAGCTGCAGGCCTGAGTCTGTCCTGGCCCCACCCACGGGCCTTCTCTCAGGGATGGGTGGCAGTGGGGAAGGGCTCCTGGGGCTTCTGGGGGTGGGACAGCTGACCCCAAGCCCCTCACAGCTCCTCCCAGTCCTGTGGGACTGAAGGCTACTGTTCCCTTGGTTCCTGGAGGGCGTGCCTCTCCTCCCCCAGGCAAGAACCTTAGCTCTTCTAGCCTATCAGCTCTTAGGCAAGAGTCTCATCTTCCTGGAGCACACCCTTGGCATGCCAGAAAGAGCCAGCTTGACCTTGAACTCCCCAGTCCCCAGGGCTGGGACGGCGGTTCCGTCCAGTGGCTCTGTTTGCCCAGGTGGTTCTCCTCTCCTGCCTCCTGGAGCAAGTTCAGACACCTGGGAGGGGGGCCGAGAAGGACCTCTCACTCTGCCCCCTAATTGCAGGACCCCGGGCTTCCTCCTGCTGAGCAGACCGCCAAGGCCAAGACCACCCAGGCCGGCATGTGTTCTGGGAGGCAGGGTCTTAGAGGAAGGCAGGCTGGATGCATAGACCCCCAGGGCCCTTGCCCTCCAGGGGCCTGTGTCGTGGGGAGACCATGACTGGGTGCAGTGTGGCCTGGGGCGAGGACTGGAAGGAAGCAGGGTCATGTGAGGGGAACTGGTCAAGGACAGCCTGTCAGAGGGGCTGGAGTGGACGTCCCATCTGATAGCTAGGAGACGGCCACGTGGGAGGCCAGACCAGGAAATGGAGACCATCTCAGGGTGGGATCTGGGTAGAGAGTGGCAGATTCAGCCAGAGAGCCAGGGGAATGGGACTCCTCGGAGGGCTTTGGGCAGGTGTGACAGGTGACCACCGACTCCCCAGCAGCCCCACTGGTCACTGTCCTGAAAGAGACCAGAGTGGGGAGAGGAGACCGGCGAGAGTGTGGTGTTGGAGAGGTTGGACCCGCTGGTGACTGAAAAGGGGGAGGAGCAGGCGTGCTAGGCCTCCATTCTGATGGGGGATGCAGCGGCCCCCGCGTGGAGGCCAGCCGGCCCTAACGTGCCCCAACCCCTACCTTGACAGAATCCCGCTGCACAAATTCACATCCATCCGCCGGACCTTGTCGGAGATGGGAGGCCCCGTGGAAGACCTGATCGCCAAGGGCCCCATTTCCAAGTACAGCCAGGGGCTGCCTGCTATGACCCAGGGGCCCATTCCCGAGCTTCTCAAGAACTATATGGATGTGAGTTGGGCGGGGGGCGGTCAGCTTGGGGCTGGGGGCCAGGCTGGCTGCAGATACTGCTACAGACAGGAGCTGCTGTCACAGAAACTTCTGCGTGAGCCAGCGTGGATTTTGGGGAAACACTTGTTCTCAGCCACTGGTGGTTGGGGTGCCTCACTTGTGCGCTGTAGGGGAGGGGCTTCCACTCAGCCACACCCCTTCCTGTGGGATTCCCGCCCCCTAGAGATTGAGGGCTCTGACCCTGTGTCCTGCCCAGCTCTGGGCTCCCCTGCTCTTGGTCCTAGTCCTCTGGGAGCTCCGAAGGTTGGTTGGGGTGGCTTTGGTACCCCCATGACATCTCCCCCACGGGCCACCAACTGTCAGCTCATAGCTGGGTGGGCGTCTTCATCCTGATGGCCAGGCTCTGGGGGGTGGGAGACAGCTTCACCCTCTGCAGATGAGGGAGCTGGGCGGGGTGGGGAGGAGCCCAGAGTCAGGCCCAGGCCAGCTGGCGAAGCTGTGGGGCGGGGGTCTAGGGGGCTTTGAGCTTCAGTCACCTGGGCCGGCCTGCCTGCCTAGGGGGAGCCGACAGCTCCGGAGCTTCTGGGTTCTTGCCCATCTGGCTCAAAGGCCCGGGGCCTCCTGGGACCCACTCCCTGCCCTGCCCTCCTCCTCTTCCACGCCCACTGCTTGTGGAGGGGACACGGACTCGGGTGGCGCACTCTGGAGGCCACACAGCACGCTGGGGCAGGTCGTCCTGGCCCCAGCTCTGGGGACAGGCTCTGGGCCCCAGCCTGGTACCTCTGGGGCTGCCCGATGACATCCTCATTGTGTTCCCCGCCCCCCGAGTCTTGGGGAGTCAGCTGCCACCCAGCCTGTGGTCCACCTAAGTTTGAGACCGGTGGCCGTGCCCTGTCCTGCCTGGCTGGAGCCCCAGCTGTGCCAGGAAGCTGTGGCCTCACAGGCATGTGATCAGGCTGGAGGAGGGGGGCCGTCTACCTGGGGCCTGACCGACCAGGCTCCGATCCCCCCGCAGGCATGGAGTTTTGCTGAGTCATCCCCTCCCCCCTTCCCGAATCTGGACACTTCTGTTGGGTCATGAGTCAGCGGCCACGGGTGCTCCCTGGAGCCAAGTGGCCGGAGTGAGATGCCTGGAGGGACTGGAGCTGGAACCCTGGCCTCGCTGAAGGCCCCACCTCCCTCCCCGCAGTGGGAGTGCCCAGGCAGACAGGGCCAAAATGAACTCCCACCCGTATTCTGACCAATGAGAGGGCCAGAGACAGGGTTTCCCTCTGAGGCTCAGGGGGCGCGTGCTCCCTGCCTGCTCGCCTGCGCCCTGGGTCAGTACCCGGGCTTCTCCCAGGCTGCCTCTGTTCCCCCATGGATGGGAAAACTGCGGTTCAGTCCCGCGCAGGGAAGGCAGCGTGGCCAGTGGTGGGGGACTCAAGTCTCCAGCCTGGACCTTCTCCCCTTGGCCACCCGGGCTTCTCTGCCTGGGGGTCCTCCAGGCTTGGCCCTTTGGCACGGGGGCCTGTGGGAACTGAGGCCCCAGAGTCAGGCCCCGACTCGGCCCCCGTGCTGGGGAGGAGGTCTCCCCCTCCAAGGCCCTGGACTCCTGAGCACAGGCCGATCTTCCAGGCAGGCACTTGGACAGACAGGCGGTTGGACACTGTCTCGACCACTGATTTTATCTTTCAAATGAGATGGTTCTTTCCCCAGCCTCACTCTGGTCAGGCAGAGACCCTGGAAGCCAAAGTGTCCACGGGCACCAGGACCAAGGGCTTGGGAGGGGCAGGTGGGGGTGGACAGCCGAGACAGCAGGTCTGACCCTGGCCCCTCCTCTGGCGTGGGCCTTCTCTCAGCCCCGTGGGGAGGTGGGGCACCCTGGCCGCAGCCCTGACAGGCCCCGCCTGCCCCCAGGCCCAGTACTATGGGGAGATTGGCATCGGGACGCCCCCGCAGTGCTTCACCGTGGTCTTCGACACTGGCTCCTCCAACCTGTGGGTCCCCTCCATCCACTGCAAACTGCTAGACCTCGCCTGCTGTAAGTCCTGCCCGACGCCTCTCCCATCGAGACGCAGGGAGACCAAGGGCCGGGCCCAGCCCAGCCCCCGTCGGCTGTAGACTCGGAGGATGGGCTCTGGGCCCGCTGCCCGGCCTCACCCGTCTCTGCCAGTCCTGGGGTGCCGCTGTGGGCCGGGCTGCTGGGGTGCCAGGGCAGAGGGCAGCCCCGGACCGTCAGTGGTCCTGCACCAGCACCTCTGGGCAGGGTGCTATTCCTGTCTCGGCTGCACCAGACAGGTGGCCCCTCCGCCCTGTCCTGCCCAGGGCTCCCCACCTCTGGGTGAACCTGTTCCCGCAGCCTTGCTCCCATCCGGGCTGGGACCGGGCTGGCCAAGGATGGAGCAAGCTGTGGGCTGTGCCACCCGCTGGGCTGAGGCCGAGGGTGGGGGCCACTGGCACATCCTGCCCTGGGAGGGCGGCTTGGGGACAGGCTCCGTGGCAGGCGGCTGGGGGCCCGCACAAGGCGGTCCAGGCCTCCCAGTGGAGGTCGGGGCTGGCGGGTAGCAGGCTGATGGGCTCCCTGGTGGGCGCAGGGATCCACCACAAGTACAACAGCGGCAAGTCCAGCACGTATGTGAAGAACGGCACCACGTTCGACATCCACTACGGCTCCGGCAGCCTCTCCGGGTACCTGAGCCAGGACACCGTGTCGGTGAGGGGCCGGTGGGGGCGGGGCTGTGCCTGCTCCGGGGGTGGGGGTGCTCTGGGCCTGGAGGTGGGAGGGAGCTTGACGGGCTTGGCAGTGCAAGGAGGGGAGGGGACAGGACAGGACGGGGGGACGGGGTCCCATCGGGGAAAGGGGGCGGGGGGACACGGGGCGTAGTGACGCAGGCACAGGTGGGGCACTGGGGGCGGTCTGGGACCAGGACCTGGTGAACGACTGAGCAGAGGAGTTGGGGGAAGGTCGGGTTCCACTCCGATGTGTTGGGTTTAAGGTGCCAGTTTGGGGCTCGGGGTCTGGCGTGGACAGGGTCCGGCTGCGGGGGACGTTTGAGAAGGACTGGAGCCGCTGGCAGGGAGCGCCTTCAGAGGACACTGGGGAGGGTTGCGGGGCTGAGCCTGCAGGACGAAGCCTCCTCCCCTGAGGAGGGGCGAGCGGGTCCTCCTCACACCTCTGCACAGGCTCTTGGGTGGAGCTGCAGGTGCCAAGCCACAGCACAGGCCCAAACTGCAAGTTGTGGGGGGTGAGCGGCAAAGCAGAAAACAGTGCCCCCTTCCCCAGGTTGAGCAGGGAGGTTGCAGGCCTCGGGGTCCGGGAGAGAGGGCCCTTCCTCCAGCGGACCATTCCTGACAATCTTGGCGGGTCAGGGGCTCTGAGGCTCCCTGCAGGCCGTCAGCCTGCTCCTCCGTACCTGCTTGTTCGGGTTTATCTGTGGGGATCTCGGCCAGTTTCTCTCTGGGCTGAGACAGGATGTCCCCAGCGTCCCCCCTGCTCCCAGCGTCAGCCCCAAACGGCTGTCCCTCCCCACATCCTGCTCTGCTTCATTATCTCTGCGGCCTTTGCTCCTCGCTGCGGGGTGGGGGGAGCGTGGCCTGGAGTCTGCTGAGCAGGGTCGGTCACAGGGTTCCCTGTCTCCCAGGTTGGGCCCAAGGGCAGGAGTAGGCCAGCGTGTGGAGGGCCCGAGCCCAGCAAGGAGCCCCCCTTCCATGCCTGTGGCATCTCTGTGATTGAAACAGTCCTGGCGGAGTGTGGGCCCCACACTGCCATCCCCCTCATCCCCAGCACTGTCTGGCTAGGGTCCCCAGCTCTTTCTTCTGGGCCCCCTGCCCATCTCGAGTCCCCGTGTGTCAGGCGCTGGGCCACAGCGGAGCGGGTTTTGTAGCCCTAGCTGCCTGTGCAGGGGTGGGAGGTGGTGGCCTTCCTGGGGCCCCGCGTCAGGCTTGGCGGTCCACATTGCTCGCTGACCCCCCGTGGCCCTCAGGTGCCCTGTAATTCGGCGGTGGCGACCCTGGGTGGCATCAGGGTGGAGAGGCAGACCTTCGGGGAGGCCACCAAGCAGCCAGGCATCACCTTCATCGCGGCCAAGTTCGACGGCATCCTGGGCATGGCCTACCCCCGCATCTCCGTGAACAACGTGCTGCCCGTCTTCGATAACCTGATGCAGCAGAAGCTGGTGGACAAGAACATCTTCTCCTTCTACCTGAACAGGTGGGGCGGGATCCCCACCTTCCCGGTGCTCCCTGCCGGCCATCAGGCCGCCGCTCCTCACCTCTGACTGCAGGAGGGGTTGGCGCCCTTTTACAGATGGACAAACAGCCCCTACAGGAGGCTGTGTCTCAGTGGGGTCTCCCAGCGGGAGGTGCTGGGGACTTGGGTCCCGCTGGCCCAGGGGGCTTGTCAGGGCCCCTCGCGAGTCAGTCCGCCAGGCGTTCCCAGGCCTGTTGATGGGCAGACGTGGCCCTGGCCCCTGGGTCGCTTCCAGCTGAGAGGGGACAAGGCCACAAGACTTGATCTGTGATAGATCTGTGGGCAAAGGGGCTGGGCTTTTCCCATGGGAAGTGACCTGGTGGGTGTGGGCTTCAGACGGGGTGGTGCTGCATGGGCCTCCACCCCGCGGGGGCTGCTGCCCTGCAGGAGCTATGCCTTGTGCCCTTCCTGCCTGGGAGGGGGGTCCTTGGAAAGGAGTCTCACTCCTCTAGCCTCCGGCCATTTCTCAGGACAGTGCCACGGTCCTGAAAGGAAGCCCCAGACAGGAGAAGTGATACAGTGTCAGGAGGGTGGGCCAGGGCAGGGTGTGAGCCGGGCGGCCCGCTGTCCCTAGCTGCTCCTAGTCACCGTGCCCGCACGACCCCCTCCAGGGCCCACGGGTGCTCGGGGTCTGACCAGCCCAGGGCCCCCCCCCCGGCTCAGCCCCCGCCCTTGGCCTGGATGCTGCCCCCTGCCCCTTGCCCGGTCAGTGGCCAACACTCAGCAGTTGCTCAGGGCAGGGCCCTCCACTGGATGCTGGGGTGGAGGTGAACAGGTGGGGCCGTTGCCCCGTGAGGGGCAGAGGACCCAGGAGGTGGACGGGGGACAGGTGGCCAAGCTCTGGGACTCCCCGGGTGATGGCAGGAAGTGGAGGTGGGGTCGGGAGATGGAGGCCCCCAAGGGCAGGGCTGAGTGTGGGGTGAGGAGGGGGACAGGAGGC